AGAAGCCAAACATTGCGACCTCTGAAAGAACATGACCTGAGATCAAACTCTCGATAGAAATTAAGGTGATCAAGATCACCCTTTCTTTTCAAAAGAGAAAGTTCAGTCAAGATAACTGGGCAGGAAAAGGGGAAAATTGAAAAGAAAATTAGAGCAGACATTATAGTCAACATTTTAATAAACCATAGAGGTATAATCTGCATGTGGATCATAAAATAACAATCATAAGGTCTTTCAGTTTATGTATTCGTGTCGCTCTTTACCAGAGATGGATTTGTGTAGGAGAAAAACCTTATGGCTGGGAGGCATGGTTCTGATGTGAACTCTCCTGTTAATTTTCCTGTATCTTCTCTCAGTGTCAGTTATCATTATAGATTACTATTATAGATATGAAGTACTAATTCTATGTCTTTATGGAATAAGCACTCTAAAACATAGTAAAAAATATCACGTAAGCATTGTAGTATTTATTACTATCATCATGACCGTTATTATTATTGGTTTGTGAGCTTATGCTTTTCCTGTTGCTAACACCACAGTACCATAGTCTGAATAGAGATTTTTGGCCCATGGTTCTGGTTCAAGGTCCAGGATCTTCTCCCGATGGCGGCTGATTTTCTGGAAGAGTGCCAAGATGGCAAAAGACTGGGATGCACTTGTGCCTTCTGGTCTCGCCACCTGTTTTCAATCATGGGGACCAACCTGATGAATTTGCCTAATTCTAATTATGTTCCAAAGGTCTCACCTCTAAATACCACAGATTAAGTTTAGACCTTCTTTGTACATCACACCAAGGCTTACATTTCAATGTGATTTCTGGCAGAGACGTTTAAACCATAGCAAGTAGTAATTATAGTGCATGAATTGAATTGGAGGAGTACATAACTAGAGCAGCGGTATGAAATGACCTCATCTCCTGTTACACCCACTGTTTACTCTGCACTGGCCACACTGGACTGATTAGTGTTCCTTAATCATATCAAGTTCACATTCTTGCCTTAGGGTCTTTGCACTGGCTATGCACTATGCCTGGGGACACCACTCCCCCAGGTGTCTTCCTTCAGCCCTTTCAAATATCACCTTGTCAAAAAGGATTACCTGTTTTATATAATTATGTCCATATACCTCAATGACAAACCCTGTGCAATCTGCTGTAGTTCCTCCATCCCAGAGCACTTAACACTTCTAAAATATTATATGATTTATTATTTTCATTTTAATCAATCTCCTTCTACTAGAAGCTATGCCCCATAAGGCCAAGACTCTTTATCTGATTTTGTTTCCTAAATGATTCCAATCGTGTACAACAGATTTTGGCATTTATTGTTGATGAGAGCAGGGAGAAATTGGGGCAAAGGCATAACACGGGTAATTTGTATTTTAACAGAATCATGGGCTGCCATGTGAAAAGTAGTTCTAAGGGGTTGTTTAGACATAGTACAAATATGTTAGCTACCGAAGAAGTATCTTTAGTGTCAACAGGTGAAGCCATGGACTTGGAACTCTAGCAAAGAGGAGATGAGTGGTGGTAGGATATATCACAGATGAAAACCGTATTTATTCATAACATTGCAATAAAATTTAAGGCAGAAAATGCTCAAGAAGTCGGATAACTGCACCAGTAAATGCTAGAAACCATATAAACACCTCACATGCCACTTAAGTGATAACAGAGCCGGTATCACACAACATATCCACAGGTACAAAGCTACTATTTTCATTCTTTAGACCAATCGCTGAGTTGTAATATTATTGAACTATTGCTAAAAATCCAAACTATGCAAAATGCATTGGTCTGAAGAATCTGTGAGAGAAGCATGAAAAAACTTCAAAGCACACATGTGTAACCTGAGTATATTTTAAGAGTTTGTGATATTTTAATAAATTTCAAATACATTAAGTGTATGATTCCATTGTCAAAAGAACAAACTATGTATGTCTCTCTTTAAAATATTTATTTATTTTTATATGAAAAAAAATTTTAATGAAAAAATTTTTACAGAGAGGGAATGAGAGAGAGAGAGAGATCTTCCTTCTGCTGGCTACTCCCCAAATGGCTTCAACAGCCTAAGTTGAGTTGATCCAAAGCTAGGAGTCAGGAGCACCCTCTGGGTCTCCCATGGTGGTGCAGAGCCCCAAGCACTTGGACCACCGTCTGCTGCTTTCTCAGGCCACACACAGAGAGCAGGATTGGAAGTGGGACAATCAGGGCACACACCATCACCCATAGGGAATGCTGGCCCCCCTAGACAAAGGATTAGACTGCTACCCAATGCTCTGGCCCCTGTGTGTCTCTTAAAACTGACCATTGGGACCAGCATGTTAGCAAAATGGGTAAAGCTGTCACTTGCAAAAGTGACATTGCATTTGAGTGCTGGTTCATGTCCTGGTTGCTCTTCCAGTGCAGCTTCCTGCTAATTACCTGTGAAAAGCAGAAGATGCCTAAATGTTTTGGCTCCTATCACTCATGTGGGGAGACCCAGATGAGACTTTGGATTCCTTGCTTTAGCTTGCCTCTGTCCTGGCAATTGCATCCATCTAGGGAGTAAACCAGTGAACAGAATCTCTCTTTTTTCTCTCCGTAACTCTGACTTTCAAATAAATAGGAAAACCATTTTTAAAAATTAAAAATGTTTAGTATTATTACATGGGTTGAGCCTAGCCACACCACCTTGCTGGCTACATGAGAAAGAGCCAGTCATCCAGAAATCAGCTGGAAGAACTCATCAACCACCAACACAATGCCTCAAAAGTGTCCCAAGGGATGCTTTCAGGAGCACAAGCAGTTTCTTTGGATGTAACCTCAGAACTAAATTGCTCTTCTATGAGACAAAATTCTAACAAGACTTTCAGTGTCACTTATCAATCTTTGGCATAATCAAGATAAAATAGGTAGAAACAGATTATTAGAAATAGTGATCTTAGGGAAAGGAAGCAGTTGTACAATATGAGGGCAGTGTTCTGTTTATCCATCCCTGGGAAAGCTTGAAAACCTCCGAAGCTCCAAACTCCAGATCAGCCTTACTCACCCACTCTACACTTTCCAAAAACATTACTGGATAACTTCCCAGGCCACTTTTCAAGGTTCTTTACCAAGACACAGACATTTGCTTCATGATTCAAATATATACATATGTGTGTATGTGCGTGACTTTATTTAGTTTAAAAATGTATTTATTTTTATTGGAAAGGCAGATATACAGAGAGAGAGACAGCAAGGAGGATCTTCCATGCACTGGTTTACTCCCCAAGTAGCCATAACGACTGGAACTGAGCTAATCTGAAACCAGAAGCCAGGGGCTTCTTTCGGGTCTCCTACATGGGTCTTGGGCCATCCTATAGTGCTTTCCTAGGCCACAAGCAGGGAGCTGAAGGGGAAATGGAGCAGCTGGGACATAAACTGGCACCCAAATGGGATCCCAGTGGCTGTAAGGTGAGGATTTAGCCACTAGGCCATTGTGCTAGGCCCATATGTGTCTTTAAAAGACAAGGGTATGTCTAGTATATTATAGAAATATTTGGGGGAAAATGATCAAAGTTTTTAAATGGTTTTTGAATTGGGGAACTTCAACTTCCATAATGTACGTACAAGAAATTCAGCTCATTTTACTAATTCATTTTTAAAAGACACTAAATAATTATTTTTTTCAAAGTAGTAATTTAAAATTCAAATTGCATATCCTATCAAAAGGTGAAAACCATTGAACCACACAAGCAGTTATATTTACCAAGATGGTAATTTAAAAAGAAAAGTTTCTGTCTGTTGATGACTACTCCTTGCACAGTCCCTCGACAGTGCACAGTGCCTGGACTGTGAAGACCACAGAGGAAACCACAGTAAGTTCCCAGTGGGAAGGATTAAAATGGTCAGTGACCTCGCTGCTTTAGGCTCTGTGACTACCGTGGCTGGCCGCCAGCGTGACACTCTGATGAGAAAGAACACTGCTACTTGCAGTCCTCAGTCGTCAGCAGCCAAGCCACGTGTGCTTGCCGTCTTCAAGTCTTCACTGCGGTTGCTGGTGATCTCTTGTGTGAGATGTTGGACAGAAGGTGTGTGAGTCTGTTGATCTCCAAAGTTTCAACAGACAAAAACTGAGCATTCATTTTATTTCTTCAAGGATCGTTTTTTGGCTATTAAGCTCATGGCATTTCAGTGAAAACAAACCAAAAGAAAAAAAAATATATATAGTTGGCAATGATTCTTTGGTTCAGGTCAACGGGTTCCCAGGGAGGCAAGGTGGAGTCTTCTAGGGGCTCCTGAACCTGCTGGAATTACATCCGATTGTATGAATGTTCATTTTCCCAAGAAAACGATCCAGTGTTTTCACTTGACTTTTACAGTGGCTGTGATACCACCCTCTGAAATCTAGCAAAGCAGATATTAAAAAAAAAACCACTCTTGTCAACGCTGATTGTAAGACATATGTCCCATTGATTCCTAGGAAAAAACAGAATCCATCTATTTCGGCTTCTTCCATTTTTCTAACCCATTCAGATTAACATTATCCATCTTTTCTAGTACTTGTGCTCAGTTTGGTACAATGGATCAACCGAAGGCCTTGTAAAAAGACTTCATGACTTCAAATCCCCACTGGAGCACTAACTGGCTAGATGAGCTCAGAGACACGAGTTAACCTGGAGCCCGTGTCTCCTTTTCTGTCTCCTAGGGATGAGATAAACATGAAGGAGATCATGCAGGTGCTTACAGTGGTCCCAGAGCCATTGTGATACTGATGGGCTTTGGTGAATTTGTAATCAAGTGCTTAATTCTGAATGTCTGCTTTTTCATAATACACTTTACAGCTAGTGATCTTTTCAAGGAGGTAAACATGAACACATTTTAAACTATTTGAATAAAATAACAAAGTTTATTGGGTTTACACAGGAGAGAAATCTAAAATGTCTATAAAGTTGCTTGGCTCATTCCTCTTTCCTCAAAAGGACATGAATCCTAAGCAAATGAATGGATGTGTTTGAAATGTTCCTCTTTCCTTCCACAGCTCTTGTAGTGAGATTTCTGACCAAACGCTTCATCTGGGAATACGACCCCACCCTCGGTAAGTCCGGTTTTGTTTCCTCCATAGTTCGTGATGCAGAGAAAGGATGATGCAGCATGCTTAATCCGCTGGCGGATGCTCTGGAAGTGGATTATCAGATTACGCAAGGAAGCCCTGGGAGATGGCAGCTAGGTATCTCAGACACCTAGTTCTCCGCTTAGAACTCTGCAGGACTGTAACGTACAGATGACGAAGGGAGATCAAACCCAAGGCAAGAAGAGGGTAGACAAAACGTGATGCTCACACATCAGAAATACACAGCATCATTCTAATGGAAAAGGAAATTTTAAATGGCAGGTTTAGCGTGGATTGTGACAACATGCCGAGGAGAGTGCAGTAGTAGCATCAAAACTTCTAAATACTGACTTTTGGGCAAATGTCAGATGAGACTGTTTCTCCCCTTTTCTCTGCAATCAGTCTGTCTAAGGTCTGTTTAAGAAAGTATGGAGTGAGTATTTAATGCAGTGGTGAAAATGCACTTTGGATGCCTGTATCTTCTCTTCCACGCTTAGTGACTAACTCTGCTTCTAATTCTAGCTTCCTGTTTATGTGCACCCTGGAAGGCTGCAGGTGGTGACTCAAGCAGTTGTGTCCCTGCCATTCAGAAGGCAGACTAGGACTGGATTTTGCACTCCTGGCCCAGCCTCAGCTGCTGTGGGCATTTGGGGGTTGAAACAGTGAATAAGAAATCTATCTCTCTCCCCAGCCCCTCACCATCTACTTCCGCTTCCCTCTCTCTTTCTCTGTGTATCTCTATCTTTCAAACAAATTTTTTAAATGATGTAAAAGTTAAAAATCCTAAGGTAAATGATCTTCCTTATCTTGAAAATAGCAACTGAAGCTGGCATTGTGGTTCAGTGGGGGTAAACCACCACTTGCTATACTGGCATCCAGTAGGGCTCCAATTCAAGTCCTAGAGGCTCCACACTTGATCCAGTTCCCTGCTAATGCAGCTGAGAAAGCACTGGAAGGTGACCCAAGTACTTGGGAACCTGCCACCCATATGGAAAACTCCTAAGGAGTTCCAGGCACCTGATTTCAGCCTGGCCCAAGTGGCAAATACAGCCATTTGGGGAGTGAACCAGCAGGCAGAAGATATGTCTACATCTCTCTCTCTCTCTTAATCTCTCTCTCTCTCTCTAACTCTGCCTTTGAAATAAATTAGTTAATCTTTACACATAGAAGCCTTAATCAAGACACTTAAAGTGGGTTAGAACCATTCTGATTTCTTCACGGATTTTTGTAGTTGTTGTTCTTTTTCATTCCAAAATTATGTATGCTCAGTTTACAAGGAAGCTTTCTTTTCCCATTGTATCTCGTTTGATTATTTTAATTCACTTATTTAAAATATATTTATTAAATGCCTTCTGTGCATTATTCATATTTTTCGAGTCCTGAGGATAAAACATTAGCAGAAAAAAAATCCAATTCTTATTTTTTGAGCTTACAGTAGCAAAGAGAATAGTAAAAAATATATATATGTGAGCAAATGAAAAGTGCTACGAAAGAACACCAAACAGAAGGGGACAAAAACTAACATTACATTTTATTTATTTAGCATTTGACTTGTTAACCTTTGCGGAGTTTATTTTAATGAAAAACACAAGGTGAAAGCCCATTTTTGTTTTACTCAGGAACCAGTTTTTTCCTTCCTTAGTAAATATCCCTACCTTTCCCTACTATATCCAATATGGTCATTGTGCATTAAATCATTCATTGTACGGACAGTTTCAGACCTGTTTTTCACATCCCAAACCAGTAGCACACTCTTTGGATGCTTGCATGCTCTGTCGCACATTTCAGTATTCAGCAGGGAGAGAAAATGTTCTTTCATTAGTTTCTTACAAAATTATCTTGGCGACTCTCTTCAGCATATTCTTCCAGGTTAATTTTAGAAACTCTGTTATAGCATGATGTGATTTGGATTGGAACTGCACTAAAATTACGAAGTACTTAGAGAAGGTTCACATCTTTATGTCCTTTAATCTAGGAGCATAGCACGCCTCTGTTCCTCTCTGGATTTAAATAGCTTTTCATGAAAAATTGTTTAATATATATATTTTTAAATAACTACTTTTAAGTTTAAATGATATACCAAGTCTACAACTATAATTTGTATTTTAAAAGCTCTCAGCAATTCCTCCCACCTGGGTGAACATTTGTTCTCTTTTTGTACTTCTATTATTTAACCTTCACAGAGATTATCTGAGAGTCTTAATTGTATGCAGGATTTGAGAAGAATACTTATTTGTTTTTATATTTGTATATCTCCATGAAAGATGAAGTAGATAAAATAAACTTAACAAAATTTTAAATTTTCGCTTATTATTTTGAAAAGTAGGAAGTCAGTTCTGCTGTCCTTCTAGTTCATTCTCCTAAATGCACTCAACATTCAGGGACCCAGAACTCAGCCCAGGTCCTTCACCTGGCTGTCTGGGACACAGATTCTCGAGGCATTGTCTCCTGCTGCTTCCCATGCATTAGCAGCAGCATGGAGTAGAGAGCAGAGCTTGGGATTCCAACTCAGAAACTCAGGTGTGGGACGTGGGTGTTAACTGCTACACCAAACGCCCACCCCTTCTTCTCACAGAGCTTTTGAATTCTCACTGAATGCATGCCAGGAACAATTGTTACTATTTTTGGATTCATCTTAGGTGAACTATCTTTCCTTTTGCTTTATTCACTCTGGAAAACAACTGCTATCAATAGCAACTGGCTTGTATCAGTTATCGGTGATACAGGCTCCCTTCTCTGACAATAATGAAACTTCATCGGCCTGGTACAGAAAAGATTCAGAGAAGCTCTCAGCTGCTAAGCAACAAGAGCTCTCCTCAGACTGCAGGAGTTAACAGATGTGTGACTCTCTGAGGTGAAGATCGCACGAACGCTCATGCAGGAGGCCGGATTTGCATGTGTGCATGTGTCTGTCTGTCTGTCTGTGCTAATGTCCTAGCCTAGAGTAGTTCCCAATCCACTTGGTTCAAGAGAAAGCACTTCCTGGGATGCCCAGCAGAGTACCACACACTCTCCTGGAGAAGACAGAATCCCCTGTGGAGTGAATACATGGTGATTTGAACAGCAAGTGTCAAAACTACCACCAAAAGAGCTACTCTGAAAAGCAAGCAAACTACCACCAAAAGAGCTACTCTGAAAAGCAAGCTGTGTGCGAGGGGGAAAAAAAAGACGAAGAAGAAAATAAAAAACCTCGTGAATTCTGAGTTCTAGATTCAATGCTTTTGTCAGACACACGGGGCCTGTTTTCTCAAACTGTAACAGAATCCTTACTCCCCCGGAAGAGGAGAACTGTGAACAGCACTCCACAACCTGAAAGAGCTGGAAGAGGCACTGACTGAGATAGTCCAAGCAGTAAATGCATGCCACTGCGGAAAACACACCGTGTCCACACTCTCAGACTTCAGGCTTACACTTTGTTTTTTCCTTTGTGCTGGGTTTTATGGAGAGAGATTATCACAGGAACCCCAATGACAGTTGCCAACAAGGGCTTGGGCTGAGGAGGAAACCTAAATCTACACTCACACTTTTATTTCACAAAAGAGAGGTGTTTTTTTTTTCTTTTTAAAAAATTCCTAGTATTTTGAGAGTACTTACTAAGATCTGATCTAAATAAATAAGTATTTTATTTTTTCATTGGGCAATTTTAGATTTTTTTGAATTTTCTATCATCTCACTGAGGATCAGTGAGATTTTTGTCAGGGGTTAGCTTTGGTCTATGAATAGCATTTGAAAACCACCACCGAAGCCCACAAAATTTAAGACTTGGATGCCTGAACTGGAACTCTTACCCTAAGGGTGCTGACAGCAATGTTCTGGCTGGGGAACAGGATCCAGACTCTGATCAGGTCCCAACCAAGAAATGAATGTGACCTCTAAGTATCTTCTTGCTCAATAAGTATGCAAGGCATTACAGAGAATACAAAGGCTTACCTCATGCACTATTTGTGTGTTAGCATTCGTGCCTGAGTGTGTAAGTGTGTGTGATGTGACGTGAGCACACATATGTTTTCTGGAGATCATGGGAGAAGAAAAAAGAAACTGCATTCGGTTTCTGCCTCTCCTCCAAGTGGTACATCACTTGAACCACTTGAAGGCCAAAGCTCAGCCAGTGTTGAAAGTGGGAGTCAGCATGCATGCTAGACCCACAGTCATTCTGTCTCAACTGATTTTCTTCTTTCCTCTCCTGGAGAGGATCCTACAGAGAGAGATGCATCCTGAACAGAACCCTTCGACTAGAAACTGAAGTGCTGAGCCAACTTGCAGAAATATTTAATATCAGCGCTGCAAGGAACTTGGAGATCATTATTTGACAAATAAGGAAATGCATCCAAAGAAGTAGATGTAGCCAAGATTATATGGCTGGTTTGTGCTTAGGCCAGCAATAGCACCCAGGAGGTCCAATCCCCACTCTAGCATAAATCATCACTCCTGTGTTATGCCGTGCTAGCCACGTGTCTACACTAACATGTTTAATTGTGTGCAAAAGCTTTGTTAGTAAGAGGATTTACCACTCCCAACATTTTTTTGATCATCAACTCCCCTTAGAATATATATAAAAAAATACTTCCACTTAGAAAGCTGTTACTGAATATAGTTTTAAAAATCATGTGTCTCCCTCACACACTGAAATTTGAATATAGTTTTTAAAATGCCTACTTCTATTTTGAAACTACTATTTGTCTTAGAGTATAAAGCATTTCAATTCCTTTGGAAGTATTTCCTAAACATTTACTCTCAACTCTTGAAAAGGGTTCAAATTATCATTTTCCATTAACATAAACAAAAATGAAAAGTATGTCCACTATCCAAATACAAACACATTTTCTTTATTCTTATTCTCTTCTTATTCTTCACACACACACACACATCCCACCATGTTTTAATTATCTCCACAATATTTTGCTTCTCTGGGCAATACTTCCACTGTTTTACATGTGAAGAAAAAAAGTCTCTAATGAGCAAAGTTCAAAGAAAAAAGGCTTGACATGATATGAAACCAGAATTCTGCTCTGACGAAATCCCTGCGACCACCCACTGCTCCATCAGAGGCAGACATTCCCTCATTTCCTGTGTTTCACCCTTTTCCTTTCTGTTAGCAATCCGTCCGAGAGACCCACAACTGCATATAATTTTCATTATTTTCTATTCCCAACCACCTACTGCCTCCTACTGTGGCATTCTGTGGCTGAAATACTATTTATCATGGAAGCAATAGAGAAAAACAATGTCTTGGTCTCGCAGATAAGTTCTGGTGCAAAGAGATGGAACAGTACCCAGGACACTGTTTGCCAGGCTGCAGGGCGAACAACAGCTTCTTCAGAGGCTACTGAAGGGCACAGGAGGGCACATCAAAAGGCCACAGCTCACAGCCTGGGGTTTGCTGTCTAGGCTGTTGCTCCTTGTGCTAGGCCACTCAAGTTGAAAAAAATAATAATAATAATTAACCCACTGAGACAACGCTTCTAAATGCATAGTTGCATCTTAGAGCATTTAATCACACAAAAATAGATTCTTCCATTGAATCTAAGTGAGGAGAGGGAGGAGATACTCAAAGACTCGCTACCAACGCCATGCTCTAGGACAATGGCAGTGTTGTAAAAGACACTTGTATGCATTGAATGGCATCGCGGTTTGGAATTTCACTTTCTGAGTAGTGTGCCGAGCCCGGGATGATGATCGCAGACCGTACCGTTGATAGCAAGGAGAAGGCTGGCTTGTGCTATTAAGTTTCCCTTTCTGCATTTTGCATTTTGGAGAAGAGATCACACAAATGGTCCTTCCAGGAGCTTACTGAAACGCACATTATGGAAGAACTACGCAGATTGCCAAATATCTTTGCACCACGATAAATTTTTCATCCCTTTTCCCATCAACTTTTTGAAGGACAACAAAGTGCCACAAAACTGGCCAAGAAAGGACTGCAAAATCATTGAAGTGAAAGTCAGAAACGTGAAGTAGATAGGAAGAAATTCACAGGAGCACTGGCTTACAGGCTGCACCAGGGAAGCAGAAACTTCTGGGTTTATCTTGTTGGTAGCTTGGTGATATGAATCATTAGGTACAAAGAATTGCGTTACGGTTGGCACCAGATCACTTTAGTACATGCAAAGCCCTTTTGTTCTGCATCTTTGCTTTTCCTTGCATTGCTTTGGATGTATCATCTAATGAGTCTGATAGGCATAGTGTTTCACAGACTGAATTCCAAAGCCAGTGTTTCAGAAATCAAATCTCACTTTTACCCATTTGCCATCTGGGTGAGCTTGGGCAAGTTACTTAACCTTGCTCTGTCTCAGTTTCCTTTTGTAAACTGGAGCTAATTGCAATGCACATTTCATGAGACATATCTGTGGATTAAATGAGTTACCTTAAAGAAAGCATTTAGAATAACGTGATCAGATACCACATAGTAGGGTATAACTGTTATGTATATTTTTGGAAAATCAATTTTCCTAGTTTTGTGTACATTTTAAATATATGTGAATTTTGTTGTGCTGCACATCAACTTCTAATATTTCTAAGTGAATGTGACATATATAACTGAATTTTGAGATTCATGCGTGTTGCTGAATATACTCTTAATTTTCTGTAGAATGATTCTTAGTATGCCACGATGAAACTGTCTTCCCTGAGATAAATATCTAGGTTGTCCATGACATGAACTTCTGCTAACATCACTGTGAAAAACAAACCAGTGGTTCTCAACTTTGGTGTACATTCTAATCACTAGAGGGTTTAATTTTAAGGATCAAAGTTAAATCTTGCAGGTATTTACCCTGTTGCTTTTTTTATTTGCTCACTTCTTCAGAATCAACCTACCGACACCAAGCAACCATCGATGATGAAGTGGTTTCCATGGAGATCCTAGATACTGCTGGCCAGGTGAATAAGGAGCTCAGTTAAAATATTTTCTGATTCAACTGAATAAGAGATATACACAACTGAACAAAATTAAGCATGATCCTATGACCAGCTTTTGCAAGACTACAACCTTTTTCCCTAATTATCTAGCCTTTTAGGCCTAAATCTATTTGTAACAGCTTGTATATACAGCCTTATGTAACTTCCCCAGTGCCTCAAGAAAGGTTTGAAAATATCATTAAAAGATTTAAAATTATTAAATTATCTAGGTTAGGGTTTTATACATTTTATTTGTTTATTTTAATTGGAAAGGTAGATATACACAGAGAAAGGTCTTCCATTTGCTAGTTCACTCCCCAAGTGGCCACAATGCCCAGAGCTGAGTCAATCTGAAACCAGGAGCCAGGAGCTTCTTCCATCTCTCCCACACGGATGTAGGGTCCCAAGGACTTGTGCCACCTTGACTGTGTTCTCAAGACACAAGCAGAGAGCTGGAAGGGGAGTGGAGCAGCCAGGACATGAGCTGGTGTCAATATGGGATCCCAGTGGATGCAAGAAGAGGATTTAGCCACAAGGTGATTGCACCTGGCCCTAGGCTAGGGTTTTTCATCTACATTTTGTGGCATGGCAGATACTAGTAGGTTTCCATGGTCAAGTAAATTTGAAATGCTCAGACAAAATGCATCATATTTCTTTACTAAAAGGATCTCAGAGCCTCTAATATATTTATATGCAAGGTGAATCTTTGAGAGATTTAGCACAGAAAGAGATTTCAAACATTTAGTGGAAGATAAAATTATATGGTAAATATACTGAAAAAAATTAAATTCAAGCACAAATGCAAATTTTCCTATTAAGACTCCTCATATTGTATCTCAAGTTTCTGTAATCTCACAGAAGTTTGTTTCCTTGTATATTTGTTTTAGAATTGTTTATTTTAGGACTCTAGCCTGTAATACTTACCTTTCAAATTTGTTTTCAATCAGTTCCTTTTGAGACTGCCAAAGATCTCGTAGACAGGTTTAGTTTCCAAATACAGTAATGATCAGTGAAATAATAAGAATTTGAATATTTCCATGGCACTTTATCAGTGATCTATGATACCAAGACAATTTGAATATTTGAATTAAAGAGTTTAATAATAAAAATTAAAAAAAAAAAAAAAACAATTCTTCCTTTCTTTTACCATCTTCTTATGTCCTGACCTTTTCTGGTTACCAAATGCACCAAGCGAGTGCAGCGTGAAAGTACAGGAAACTTTGGAAGCTTGTAGAAACAGAAGAGACAAGTGTAGGACCTGGTGTGATAGCCTAGTGGCTCACCTTGCATGCATCAGGATCCCATATGGGCAGCAGTTCATATCCTGGCTGCTCTACTTCCCATCCAGCTGCCTGCTAGTGGTCTGGGAAAGCAGTAGAGGGTGGCCCAAAGCTTTGAGACCCTGCATTTGCATGGGAAACCAGGAAGAAGCTCCTGGCTCCTGGCTTTGGATCAGCTCAACTCTGAGCGTTGTGGCCACTGGAGGAGTGAACCCACGGACAGAAGATCTTTCTCTTTCTGTCTCTATTGAAGTTCAAGAGTTGGCAGTTTTCTGAACTTTGACATGAGTGTCTATTTCAAACTAATTGAGAAGGTAAATTTGTACAGACATCTGAACAAGTCATTTTAATGACACTGGATCCAAAATTAAAAAGGAAATTAAGGGACGATTAAAACATTAACTGCATCTATACATTGCCATCACTTCCAGACGTCCTGACAGCCATTTTTTCTTTGCCCATAGGAAGATACCATTCAGAGGGAAGGACACATGAGATGGGGAGAAGGCTTTGTGCTGGTTTATGATATTACTGACCGAGGGAGTTTTGAAGAAGTGGTGCCACTGAAGAACATCCTAGATGAGGTCAAAAAGCCCAAGAATGTGACTTTCATCCTGGTTGGTAACAAAGCTGACTTGGACCACTCCAGACAGGTCAGTACAGAGGAAGGGGAGAAGCTGGCCACAGAATTGGCGTGTGCTTTCTATGAGTGTTCTGCCTGCACGGGTGAAGGGAATATCACGGAGATATTCTACGAGTTGTGTCGAGAGGTGCGTCGCAGGAGGATGGTACAGGGTAAGACCAGGCGACGCAGCTCCACTACGCACGTCAAGCAAGCCATTAACAAGATGCTCACCAAAATTAGTAGTTAGACTACTGTGTGTTTGCCCTGTCCTACTGAGGGGAGGTCAAGTCAGTGAAAATCCATTCTTTTTCCTTTCCAAGTCCTTTTCCTTTCCAACAAAACAAAATACCCCACTCCTTGTTTAAACTCTGGGAAATGTCTGGGCTTCACGTTACACCAGCCTTCCATAGGGTGTTTTATGCAAGTTCAACACTGACAATTTCTCCCTTTCCTGCTTGAATAGGATGCACTCTATGTATGGATGGGTTAGCATTAAGCTATTTTTAGGCAATTTCACTTGCTTGAATAGGTTGAATTCTTTTCACAAACATTTTTAAAGTCCATTTCTTGATAGGCTACAAATGATCATCTTAAAAGTTCTAACGTAGCAGAAATGACAGTAACAACACAGGAAGGGCAGGTGAGTTGTTGAAACAGGAAGTAGAACTCTAGCATCTATTTGAAGATAAAATTTTCTCAATTCTCTTAAGCCATTAAGGTTTTCCGTAACTCTTTATTTTGTCCTTGAGTTCCAATATGCCAGCACTGTTAATAGAGAGCCCATTTGAACTTCAGTTGATTCTTTCAATACCAACACTCCCTAATGCTCCTTTGTTGCCCCAATCCAGGTTTCAATTATGGTAGAGGTAGACAAACCCACACTCAGATCCTTCTAAGCCTTTATTCATGAAGCCCCGAGTGATTTAAGAACACTAGCAATCTTGCCACCAAGTCCTGACCGTTGAATGAATGCTGATGAAATATTTAGAATTTTGGATGTTGGATTAATTACTCATACTATTGTTAGTCTTAGAAAGAAATGTTAAAAAAAAAAAAAGGAAAATTGAGAATTAAATGTATTTCAAACAGATCTTGTATTGTGGAAGTATGGTATATGACTGATAAAATTTTGTGATTCCTCTCTCCTAAGATCCCATATATCAATATCTGGGCACTTTATTTTAGAAGAAATATATATCTTTTACATATGTATGTATTTATAATTGCATAGATATATGTATAAAAATTTGTAAGTGTTGGGAGCTTTAATTCACCAATGTATTTGGACAACTTGGTGTAACTGACTTTATTTTATGTGACTATAATAAAAAGCATAATTTTCAAATTCTGCTATCTTGGAGCAGTCTTTTTGTGTAAAAAATGGAAAGTATGTAATTTTAAGAGAAATTTGAGAGGACAGCTGAATTTTAAAGCTGAAGAATCGGTGAATCTTCTACAAAAAATAATTAGTTTTTCTTGATAACAGCTGCTAATTTGAAAGATCAGGAGTTATTTAAAGCATCTTACATATTCTCTCATCAAATTCTCACCATAACCCTATAAAACAGTGTTACCATGACTTTAATTGTATAGATACAGATGTGAACCACTGAGTGGGGTGGATGATAATTATTCATAGCTATTAAGTTGGTAGAACCAGGATTTGAACCCAAGAAGTTGGAGAAAGACACGAGAGTCAGCAGTATCACCTACCATGTAACTTTCATCTCTAAACCATATGGATGAAGCTAGAGAAACAGATAATTTAAAGATTTGCTCCCTTTATTCTTCCATTCATTGATTACCCGAAACAAGTTAGTCCACTTATGATATCTGATTTGAAACTTAATATGTCAAAATTATCCGAGAAAGAATGACGACAAAAATATTTCACAGCTCAGCTCAGAATGAAAAAAGAAATGATGGTGGACAAAGGAATGATGATAATCAATGATCTGATTGTGATCGCAACGCATGATGAGAAGTTAAAACAGACTGGTATGTTTCTCCCAGCTGCAACAATTGGATCCAGCCTATAAATGGCACTGCTGGCTCTGAGTTCTGCTTTACCTAAAACTGGGGCTACACGCTGGACTGCCAGCGGGCCAGATGTTTCATCCATGTTGTAAATCCTCTTCTTGCTCAACAGTCTCAGAGGACAAGTCCAAATCCACAGTTCTTTCCCTTGGGACTATCTTGGACACACACTGTGGGAGCGTACTGATAGGAAAGCATCAGATTCCATCTCTACCCTGAGCTTGTCAAAACAGGGGAGTGAAACAATCCTGGGCCGAGTGTTCTGTTCCCTACGGGAGGTTTCTCGGAAAACACTTTCCACAGAGTCATCTGGGAAGCTTGTTTAAAATTTAAATCCTGGACCCACTTCAGAACTACTGAACCAGAATATGTAGGCGTGAAGCCAAGAAATGTGCATTGTAATGTGCCCCCTTGGTGATGAAAAATGTATATCAAAGTGTGACAAGTGTGGGGCCAAGGAGACAGAACAAGGAACCTGCATCAAACACACCAACTTTCTAAGAAATCCGCTGAATTTTGTGGGCAAGGGAATTCTCTGCAAACTGTTATGCTTTTCCGCCATTCCACAGAGGATAAAGCAGACATTCACATTACTGCTTTGTAAAAGCTTTCACGATAGCACCTGAGTAGTTTACCTAGTTCCCGGAGGTGGGATTGAAACCAAGCTTTAAATGGAGTTTCTCACTTTTGACTTTTTACTTGTTTTAAAGGATATAAACAGCTCATAGGTCACTATCACTCACCCAAACTCCAGTCTCCTTCATCATCTTGTTAAACAGAAGCTCCCGTTAAATGACCTTCACATCAATTCCTTCAGGTTGCTTCCATGGGAAATCCTCACGTAAACGGAGGGGGAAAAAACATCTCTAAGATACAAAGTAAAAGATAATAGGATCCCAAGGTTACATCAAAAAGGACATAAAAATAGAACTAACAAATATTTACTTTGGTGTAAAAACTCTTCAAATCTATGCACAATTTTTTGTAATTCCCATTCTCCTTGAACTCTTACTCCCCCTTTTTTATGCACAGATTTCAAGGTGTCTTTTTTTTTTTTTGCACCAAGCCAAATGTATCAGATTCCATTTTCCCTAAATATTTTGAAGCTTCCTTGTATTAATTTCTGATGCCTTCAAGACAGCACCCTGTAGACAGACAGCTGAAATGCTGATGAAGTCATGTCTTAGAAAACCATCTCTATGTTTAAAGCCATTTTTCTTTTCACATCTGTTTTCATGACCAAGGACACAGTTCCATTTTGATCGCGTTGTTACTAGAATACTACTTCTGTATCTGCTCTTTGATAGCCCTCAGGTTTTCTAAGAGTCCATTTCCAGAAAACTGTAAGTTATTGTAAGGAAATATGGTAACCTTGTAAATACTTAATATCAAAGGGACTAATTGTACTGTTCGTTACCATACTACAAAACAAATAAACAGAAAAGAAAGTCACCTACATATTAAATAATAAAGGATTCCAAAAACTACAGTATGGGTAGATTAATTTCATATAGGCATTTCATACTACTGACTAAGGTTTTTAAAGCACGAGATATTGCTAATAATGTGCTTTAAAAAAATAAATGGAATATAAATTATTTACCTAAATCTCAAATGATAATTACAGAGGAGTAAGCATTTGACAGAGGTGTTAGGACGCTACTTAGAGTGCGCAGACGCCATGTCTGAGTAGCTCTGGTTGCTGATTCCAGCTCCCTGCTAATGTACATGCTGAAAAGCCACACGTGACAACTCAAGTACCCACACGGAAGATCCACCCTGAGTTTCTGGTTCCTGGGTTTTACCTGGCTCAGCTCTCAATGCTGCAGGTACTAGAGAAGAGAATCTGCAGTTTAAAGATTTCTGACTGACTCTGTATTGCGATCTTTCAGTTTTTGAAAATGACACATAAAAGAAAATAAAAATACAACAAAGTACTGGGGTGGTTTCTTTTATGAGATTATCTGAGAACAGTTTTAGTGTTTTTCCCAGTAAACCTATAGAAAACTAAGCCATATGACTGCTGAAGTCGATTATAAAAGCATTTACACCTGACCTAAAAAGTTCGGATTAAATATCACCTTTTGTAGGAGCCTTCCACTCCCCTTTATCACATTCCCTTTTTGTACCCACAGATGAGTCAGTCAGTAATTCTTAAGAAATAAGCAATGAGGGGACAAGAATCTCTAGTCAATGAGTACCGTTAGCTTTCAGTCATGATACTAGTCACTTGAAATAATTGACCTATCCAGCCTATAAAATAAATAACAAAATACAGATTATCTCTACTTTCCAGCTAACAAAGGTGAGGTTTACAATGATTAAATTAGCTGAGTGAAGTTGCTTTTTGCTGTGACAAATCTCGTTGGTTTTCGGCATCCCATATTGCTGTCCTAGACATTCAGAACTCTGGAATTTTGAGAGGCGGCCTTTGAGACACAGCCTGTTATTAATGAAATTGTAACAACATGGGGTTTGTTCTAAACATCTCCACATGTGCGGTGCCTTCAAGTGCCATGGAGACCTTCTGAAGAAGAACTTCTAGCCCACACATGACAGTGTTTGTTTCACCCACCCCAAACCCACTCATGTGTTGAATCTGTAGCCACAAATACTTCAGAGTGTGACTGTATTTGGAGATAGGACCTTAGATAAAAGGAAGTCACTAGGAGTGGGTGTTTCGTTGCACCATGGTAAGCTGCCACTTGAACGCTGGCTTCCTGTATCCGAGCAACTGAGACAGAGTCCCACCACTACTTCCAATCCATTTTCTGATCATGTTCATCCTGAGAGGCAGTGGAGATGGGTTCAAACACTTGGATCCCCATCACACACACAGAAGACCTGAATGGAATTCTAGGATCCAGGAAATTGTGGGTATTCAGAGAATTAACTAGCAGATGATATCTCTCTCTCTCTCTCCCCACCCCATCCCCACTACCTTTTAAAAAAAAAATAAAAAACTGCAGATTCCCATGCTGTTGTTGCTAAGTTCTTCATCAAGCCAAGGCTAACTGTCTCGTCTTAATATTTGAATAGTCCGAAATTCCTCTGTTTTAATAGCTTTCCCAGAGAACAAGGGGCAAAAGGTAAGAAAGATAAATTGCTGCTCTCAAGGGTCAGTATTGTGGAATAGCATGTTGAGCAGCCACTTTGAATGACAACATCACCTATCAGAGTGTTCATTCACTACAAATTCACCTTCCTGATAATGTGCTTCGTGAGTATCTGGGGAAAGAAAGGAAGGCAACTATTTCAAGAAGGATCACACCAAAGGGAGGGGGAA